CCGCGCGGCCATTAAAGTCCGTTCTTATCTTTAAAATTCTCTTAAGTATGGTCCTAAAATGCTATGAAGCAATCAAAAAGCCGTATTAATATCTTAAGACAGTACTTAAGATAATTCTGGAATAAGAACGGACTATGAATATCGCCCATAAAAGGCCATTTTATCTTATAAAAAGTCAGAAAAATTTAATCTTTTTTATATTTTATTTTTTTAAATTAAGAATTCATTATTTTTTGTTTTCAGTGAAATAGGTTCACGAAAAAAAACACAAAAAGAAACTTTAGCGGCTGCGTCGTGTGCGATAAAGAGAAAAAAAGAGGCGTCAACCACGGAAATCGGTTGAAATGCTCAACTAATTCTGAGCATTGTTCTAGAATTTTCTTTTCATCACGTTTCCTGCTGAACCAATTTGTTATATTATTTTGTTTTTTATTGACGGAGACGATGCAATGACATCATTAACTCACTTCTAAATTAAACCAAATTTGTTCAATTAAAATTATTAATAAAACAGTGTTCTTAACAAAAATACTTTTTCTCAAGTCTAATACAATATTTGTCGATAAAACTTTTTCACATATTAACGTTAAGGGAATCCTAAAATATTAACGTTAAGGGAATCCTAAAATGGTCTGTCTTACCGATTTCTTTCAAATACACTATACTTTTTTGGCTGTATGGAATAAAAAATCCTTTTCAATAATTAAAGTACATATGCTAATACACTACGGCCGACTTCAAAGGATTTTCTAAGCCAGATACAGTATCTGTTTTGGCTTATATTTTTCGTAAATTTTATTTTTTGGCTGCGTGACTTGAAAAATTTTTTCAAATCGACCGTCTGTAGTGTATTAGCTTATGTATAATACTTTAATTACAGTAAAGGATTTTTCATTTTACACAGCCAAAAAAAGTATAGTGTATTTGAAAGAAATCGATAAAACAACCACTTTAGGATCCCCTTAAGTCACAACTTTTTATTTTGTTTTCAGCAAAACTTGATTTAATTTTTTAATTATATTTTTTTTAAATATATTTCAATAATTAACATATTTTCAGAAGATAGATATTCATGATTTTACATAAGATCACATTGAAGAACACATGTCTTATTTTCTTTTACAGATGTAAACCACAATTATCTTTATATCAAAATTCTATATTTATTACAAATTATAACTGGATACATAAAGAATGTAAAAGAAGACAAATATATAAAATCAAGAATTTTGAGAAAATCTATTTAGAGCATTTCTATGAATTTCAGTATGGAAATCGAAGGGTACAAATGACTAGAAATATAGTTTGGTTATTTTGTCAGGGTGATATTCTAGCTTATAAACGCGCAGAGAACGGTACAATTAAAAAGGGTAAAATATTCTGAGAACTGACAAGGCTTTTATAAAAACTTTTGCTCATTGCGATAATTATATTATAAGTGGCGACAGGTGAATATTTATTTATGAACTGTGTGAACTTTTATGTTTATTTCTTTTTTTTTATTTTTGACAAAAATTCTTGCAGAGAAGGAATTATCAACCGCTGGGAAATTAAAGATAATCAAAATAATTTTTTATTTGAACGTTTAAAAATACATAATGTGCATTATAATATTGATCAAATAGACGCAACATCGCAACACATTATAACTAGTTCTAAACATTTAATAAAGGTAAGATTAAAGAAAAATTGCAATAATGCTATGTTAATGTAGTATGTAAAAAGTTTGTTTTTGTAGATATTGAAATATACAGATGATGGAAAAGGTTGTACGGTAGAAAACGAGATATTTTGCGGAGATATTCTCGCCAATTCTTATATACAATCAATCTCATTTGACCCTATAGGAACAAAATTTGCGGCTACTATCGTTCATTGCTCTTCTTTTAAGTCGTCGTTTCTAATTTACGATATTGATAAAAGGTAAGTTATGTTTCAATTAATTAATCGGTTTCTACAAATGTTCGATTGAACATTGACTACATTTACACGTCAATCTCAATTGGGTATAGTAATATCCGTAGATATGAAACCCAATTGACGTTGCCGTGTAAACGTACTTATGGACTATGTTTATATACAGACACTATTATATGATCCGATTTAATAACATTTCTAATTATAACTTACAAAAACGGTTTGATAACCCAAAAATTCTAAAGAACATAAAACTGTAAAAATACAGTATATATGAACCTAATCAAGTACGTATATTTAAAATAATATATTATATAACAAACTAGTGTAAAAAAATTTTAGTTATCAGATAATAAATATAAATATAAATGATCTTTGTCGCCACATACTATGGGAGGATCCTTACACTATTCTCATGTGTTGTGGAAATTCTATTAAAAAAATGGATTTAAGGTAATAAATCTTATTGTTAATACCAATTAGCCATTTAATTTATTTATATTTGTTACTGTGATTTTAGAACATCCGAAATTGTACGTACATGGGATTCTTCCAAATATGGCTACACAAATTGTTGTTCATCAGATAATATGAACACTTTTATGACAGGGCATCAAAAGAGTGTTCTGTGGGATCAGAGACAAAGCGTTGCCATTCAAGTTTGTATTATTTTCAAATTTTTTGTATCTTGTACTTTATTAGTAAATTATTATTAACTCTCTTGAAAATTTTTAGACGTATAATATGCCTGGCTTAGATATATATTGTCTAGAATTTGATAGTGCCCATATGTATGCTGCTACAAAAGATTGTCTTTTTGAATTGGATTTTACAAAGAAAAACCACTTTAACCAGAAAAAAATAAAAACGTTTTTTGGCAATTTTTATTAAATAAAAAATGTTATGTGAAAATTCTTTTTATTATATTTTAATTATTTACATTAATTCAATAAACTCTATACAATCTGGAAAACGCTGCTCCAAGATCTATAGAGAGAAAGTTACCTCATGCGGAAAGAGGGACGAGCGGCAAGAGGGGCAATGATGATCTCGGGAGCTTTCCATCAAGCCTTGATGGATCAAGGCATTTAGGCGACACACATTCACACATGACACGGTGTCAGACAGAGTGCTTTCCATCAATGACACGTCACGGCACGGTTCGACACAGCAGAAAAGCATAGTCGAACCAGAGAGAAGCCTGAGAGACGCCACGGCCAGGTTTTAATACAAATTGATAATATTGGGCGGTATTCATAGTCCGTTCTTATATTCAAGATCGTCTTAAGCACGAACTTATATTCGCTCTCTTCGTCAGACACAATCTGTGTGACGAAGAGAGCGAATATAAGTCTATGCTTAAGACAATTTTGAATATAAGAACGGACTATGAATACCGCCCAATATTATCAATTTGTATCACCACGCCGGGTACCACATGTGCATACGCACGTACAAATATACACATACACACGCATTGTCGCCATTTTGTTGTAGAGTGTCATGGCCGAAACCGGAAATCCTGCCGGCCTCAGCTCGTTTGACGAAGTTAGCGATCTAGTACTAGTATAGACATCTGTGCAGTGCACGCGGTGCTCTGACCGTTACAATTATATTAGGAACTAGACGGATATTTGTCCAGTCGTCGAGTCGTTTAATCGGAGAACTTTCAGTAGCCACCATATCGTTAACACGTGTAACTTTATGGCCGGAGCACAGACTTTTGCATAAAGCATAACGCATAAGCATAAGGAAATAGTAT